AAAGAAGTAAAAGCAGCAAATAAACATATGAAAAAATGTTCAACATCACTGGTTATTCGAGAGATGCAGATGAAAACAACACTGGGATTCCACCTCACCCCAGAAAGAATGGCTGCTATTAAGAAATCATCCAAAAAAAAAAAAAAGAAAGAAAGACAGAAATCATCCAATAGCAAATCCTGGCGGGGGCGTGGGGAGAAAGGAGCCCTTCTCCATTGTTGGTGGGAGTGCAGACTGGTGTAACCACTGTGGAAATCAGTATGGAGATACCTCAAAGAATTAGGCTTAGAGGTCCCATTTGACTCAGCTATCCCCCTGCTAGGTATCTTCCTAAAAGAATTAAAAGAATCATACCACAGTGATATAAGTGCACCCATGTTTATAGCGGCACAGTTTGTAATAGCAAAGGCATGGAAACAGCCCAAGTGCCCATTAACTGGAAACTGGATAAAGAAGATGTGGTTTTTTTATAAAATGGGGTACTACTCAGCCATGAAGAATGGGAGACTAGAGACATTTATAGCTAAATGGATGCATATTGAGGCCATCCTCTTAAGTGAAATAAATAGGACACACATGCGTAAATACCAAATAGTTTCTCTAGTGTGAGAAACTGAAAGTGTAATTAAAGATACACACAGATGAAATGGCCTAATAACGTATTTCTCGGATTGTGTTTCCATCGCGTGTCATATGACTGTATCGAAATTTAAATTAGGGAGAAGTTTGCCTTATGTGGAGTCTGCTAGCTAACTGGAGTTTTTTTCCAGACCACTATTTGTTCAATGTTGGTTTGGGGTATCTTTCTGAAACAAATCACATCCTCTGATGTCTTGTTGGTGCCTGAGATGTTTTTTTAAATTATATGGAAAAATGTTTAAGTGCTTTTCAGTTTGTTTTGGTTGAGTTCTACTGTATTTCAATATTATTGGAGGGTTTTTTTCCTTGCATTGTTCTTCTTTGAATGGTTTTAATTTTTGTATGTGTGTGTTTGATAATAAAGTTATTTTTTAAAAAACAGTAAGTTTTATGTTATGTATATCTTTACCATAATATTTTAAAGGCAAGTAATGCAATATTGTTAAAACACTGAAAAGGAAATGAAGTAGTGATGCATGATACTACATGGATGAATCCTGAAAACATGCTAAAAGAAAAAAGCCAGATATAACGCCAGATACAGAATTGTATGATTCCATCTATATTAAATGCACAGAATAGGTAAATATATAAAGATAGCAGATTAGTGACTCCCAGGGGCTGGGGACCCTGCAAGAGTGGGATGTGATTGCTTAATGGTACAGAACTTCCTCTTCATGAAAACATGCTAGGATAGTGGCAATGGCTGGTACAACATCATGAATGTGGTGAAGGCCACTGAATTGTATACTTTAATGGCTAAAATAGTGAACTTTATGTTATGTGACTTTTACTTCAATAAAATAAAAAATAAATTAATTAATTTAAAAATAAATTAAATTATATTAAAACTATTAAAAAGTATATAAGTATGTGGTGACTAAAAATAAGTATTAAAAAGCCTTAAGTGTTTTTTTCTAGTTTTCAAACTTTAATTAACACTGTTTATATTGTTTTCATAATGAAAAGAGAATTAACATGTATCAAGTATCTACTATATATTAAATACTGTACTAGGCATTTTCATGAATAATGACTTTTCCAGCCATGCTGAAGGAAACATCTGACAGAAACATGGAAGGGAGCAAAGGAATCTAGTTATGGGGAGAAAAAAAACTAAATGCCTCCTTATCGATTATTATATATATAAAACAAAGTACCTCTAAACATGGCAGCTTTAAATAACTATTTACAAGATATCTCTGTACATTTAACAGCATAAGCATAGATAATCTCTCTAAGGTCAACTTGATTTTTTTTGTCGTTGTTGTTACTGGTACTGGGAATTGAACCCAAGGCCTTTGCACTAAGCTACACCCCAGCTCTTTTTATTTTTTATTTTCAGAAAAGGTCATACTAAATTGCTCAGGCTGGGTTTGAACTTGTAATCCTCTTACCTCAGCTTCCCAGAGTACTGGGGTTACAAGCATGCACCACCATCCCTGGCTTTTCGTATACTGTATTGTATTATATTACATTATATTATATATTTTATATAGCTGTAAATCTCACTGTTGCACAAGCTTAGCTTCCTGAATTATTAATTTTATGTGTCAATTTGACTGGGTTAAATGCCAACATGACTGGTACAATATTACTTTTGGGTGTGTCTTTAAGGGTGTCTCTGCAAAGGACAAACATTTGAATCAGTAGCCTGAGTAAAGAAGAGCACCTTCACCAATCATCCCATCTGCTGAGGGTGTATATAGAACAAAAAGATAGGAAGGGCAAATTCTCTCTCCTTGAGCTAAGACATCTACTTTTTTTTTTTTTTTTTTTTGGAAGTGGGAATCAAACTCGGGACCTTGTCCTTGCAAGGCAGGCACTGGAACCACTGAGCTAAATCCCCAGCCCAAGACATCTACCTTTTTAATGCCCTCAGAATCAGCCCTCTGGATTCTCAGGCTTTCAGACTAAATTACACCACCAATTTTGCTAGTTCTCCAATTTGGAGAGAGCAGATCACTGGATTTCTCAGCCTCCATAACCTCATAAACTAGTTACTTCATAAATCTCCTCTTAGATATGTAGCCTATTGGTTTTATTTCTCTGGAGAACCCTGACATACACTCAAGTGAAAAGACTTGGCTTTCTTGTTATAACAGCCCCAAAAGAGAAGTCAAAACTACTAAAAGAGATGTTATTTTATAAAGAAGGAAGATAATATTATGGATCTAGTTGTTTCACAATTACAATCATAATCATCAATGTAATCATAGTTGTCTTTTATTCTATCCTTAAAATTCTTAATTTCAGCTGCCTTTATAAAAACCCCACTACCATCAATTCCACACAGAGAAGTAGATCAGAGAGTTTTGGGGGGGGTTGGTTTTTGGGGGGTTTTTGGTATCGGGGATCAAACTTGGGACCTTGCACTTGTGAGGCAGGTGGCGGAACCACTGAGCTAAATCCCTGGCCCAGATCAGAGAGTTTTATAGAGAATCAATTCAATTCTCATAAGTAACTGAGTATAAGATTTCTTTTTTTGGTACCAGGGATCAAACTCAGGACCTTGCACTGTGGAGGCAGGCGGTGGAACCACTGAGCTAAATCCCCAGCCCAAGATTTCATTCTTAATAAATGTATTCTGCCCTTTGATATCTGATTAGGTTTAAAAATAAGTTAAGATGTCTTGGATTGGTCTAGACCTCTGCTATAGCTAAATCAAAGAGAACTACTTCTTTAAAGAACTTGAGCTTGAATATTATAGTGGTATCACATCCTTTAAAAAGTTTCCATCCTGGGTCAGGGATTTAGCTCAGTAGTTCTGGCGCCTGCCTCAAAAGCGCATGGTCCCAAATTCAATCCCCAGTACCAGAAAAAAAAAAAAAAAAAGATTCCATCCTTCTTGGTTCCATTTGTTACTTCTTAATTGATCATAGCATTAGAGTACTGATTAGGTAGGAAAATCCTTTAAGTAAATCACTCTATTGCTGACTAGAGTTCAACTTCAGTCTTCTTCAAACAATTATGTACAAGCACCATAATAACTAAAAGGCAACATAAAATTAATTGCTTAAGGCTTTGCAGGTCCAGTCATTTGTAATTCAGCAATTTTTTGATAAGTATTTCCATTACTTTTTACAATATGTGTAATTTACCAACTGAGCCTTCATAAAGATTTTACTGCCAAGAGTTTAGAAATTTTCTTTGCCCAACTTATACTGTTTTCTCATATTTAGTGTCCAAAATATAAACCTAGAGTTATCTTCTAATTACTGAAAATTTAAAGTCAAAACTCCTGAATGTTTTAGAGATGGCCAATGTTTACAGGTGGTTAAGCCTCTAAAACTTTGCAGTTGTTGACAACTCTATTCCTTTCAAGTGAAGTAGAAAACTTCACAAGGCAGCTAAATTAAAAGTAGCAGACTCTGGACACCTGTCATTGGTTACCGTATGCATGTTCTATGTGGCATTTCCATAAGAAATTTTGAGTCTGATTGGCCTACCTTGAGTTGTGTAGTAGGCAAGATCTTAAGATGGCCCCCATGATTCCCATCCCTGCTGCTAACATCCCCCTCAATTGGACAGGACTTGTGAATATGATGGAATAGTCACTTCAATGATTACTTCATATTATCTAAAATTCTGTTATATAGACCAGAGAAAAATCCTCCTGCTGACCTTGAAGAATGAAAGTACCATGTTCTGGACAGGGCCTCGTGGCAAGGACTAGTGTATGTTACAGCTTGTGTCTAGATGTCCTCCCAAAGCCTCATGCAGTCATAAGGTGGGACTGAATCTAGGGTGTGTGATACTGGAATTAAGGGTTTGTGATTACTAAACCACATGAGTGATTGGTTTGGAACCACCCTCATCCCGGTAGTCTGGATGGGATCAAAGTGGCAGAAAGATACTGCTAAGGTCTTTTGTTGCTTTTGCTGCTTCTATTGTCATGAACTGTTGCTTCTCTGCTGCCTTGCCTTGGAGCCAGGTGATTTGGACTGAAACCTCTACAAACTGTAAGCCAAATAAATCTTTCCCTCTTTAACTTTGGGTGTGGAGTATTTTGTCTTAGCAACAAGAGAAAGTATCACAGTGTACAATCTCTAGGAGCTGAGAATGGTCCCCCACTGATACACAGCAAGTCCTACAACTGCAGGAGCTGAATTCTGCCAACAAATAGTGATTTAGAAGAGGATGCAGAGCCTCAGATGGGACTGGAGCCCCAGCTGCCACCTTGAGACCTGGTAAGACTTTGAGCAGAAGACCCAATCAACTCATAACCACCCTTCACCTACAGAAATTGTGAGACAATGAATTTGTGTTGTTTAAAGCCACTAAATTTATGAACATTTCTTATGCAGCAAAGGAAACTAATACAAGTTTCACCATTCCTTCACCAGAGGACAGGGGAATACCTTCATAACAGCCAAAGTAAGGTTTCGTCCAATAGGGAGGGGTGGTCCTTCTTAAGTGCAATTGAGGCATCATTATCAGTTGAGAGGACAGATGCTGGAATAAAAAAGAACAACAATTACCCACCACAATATATTCTCTAGCTGATATCTCACAAGCTTTCAACATTCAACTTACAACCCCCACACTGTTGTTTTTGTCTACTGCCATAAACAGACTTCTAGATTTATGTGTCACAATGCCAGAGACTAGCAAACACCACATGAGAGAGGGCAAAGGGTCTAGTGAGAACATTAGACTACTTGCCTTTAAAAGTTGTAGCCCTTAATATGCCATTAATTATCTGTGAGGCCTTAAGCAAACAACTTGTGGGCCACAGTTTACTGTCTGTACATGAAGGGATTAGATTAGCTTTTAATGTTTCTCCCAGCACTAAATTTCTATGATATTATAAAATGCCCCAAAAACTCCCACCAAAATAATTCAAAATAAATTATTGATTTGCTGTAAAAGAACAAAGGAATGCCATACTGTTCCCAACCACATGCCGTGTTATGCCTCTGAAAGTGGCACCAAGAAAGGTTTTCTGAGAAAGTCACAAGATATTTGCCTATCACACTCAAATTAGCTTACCAAAAGCCAGCCACATAAAAGAACAGAAACTGGGGATGGCAGGAAGGAAGAAGCTATCAGAAGAACCTGAGGCAAACTAAAATTTACATGATTGTAAAGCTATGCTTTATGATGTCATTGCTATGAATTATAATACATTTCTATTGTAACCATATTAGAACATATTATGTATTTTTTTCTTCTAATTTGCCATTCACTTCATTAAATAACAATGCTAAAGATCTAAGGTTGGATTCAAAAGAATTCATCTGGAAATTCACTTTGGGGACTCATTTTAGCAATATGATCAATCAGCCAAGAAAAAAAGAAGCAATTTTGGTTTTTTGTTAGCACGTATTACAGAGAATAATAGGTCTCACTGTGACATTTTTCCATATGTACATAATATACTTTGAGCATATGCTTCCCCCATTATCCTTCCCAGCTTTCTCCCCCTCTTCTCTAATACTCAGCAATCTCACTTTTAAAGCCTACATTAACTCAAACCAGTTGAAAATTAAATATTAAATATTTCACTTTTGAAACGTTGGAAAGAAATTTCAATCACAATTGTTCTCAACAAAACATATTAACTTTATAATAGATTCTTTCCCTTTGCAGTGTTGCTTTCCTCTCCAAAAACACCCTCAAGGAAAATTCTGATTTAAGAATTTTAACCATAATCAGTTTCTGTAACTGTCAATCTCTTCAGCAAGTGAAAGGAATTCTTAATAGAGGAAAGGGAAGTTAAGGAAAAGAAAAAGCTTTCAGTAAACAACTGTTCTCATTCAACTAGAAGGGAAAAAATAAATGTAAAACAAAAGATTGAGACACAACAATAAAATGGTGAGATTACATTCTTGAAGAATGTCTATTGGAGGACATACCAGGGAATTTCATGTATAGGACAAAACTTGGACCTGCGAAGTTGGGAATAACTATGTTCCCCTGCAGTACCCATAGGCAAATGGAACCACTCCTGTAACTCTGCCAAATTAAAAAAGATAAAATTCCCAAAAGAATAATTTCACAGTAGATATAAGTTATCATTTCAATTATTAAGTACTCTGTCCCATTCCACAATTAAATGGGTTTAGAGACCTAGCACATAATTTAGTAAAGAGAAATGCTAAATCTCAAGAAAGTTCTACACCTTTCCTGGCGGGTCACTTAACCTCGGGGCTTGCAAAAGTCAAGGATTTGTCTTCCCTCAGAATGAACCGTACCATTAGGAGAAGAACCGGGAAGCGCCTGCACTTAGGGGAAATTGAAACAAGGGGAGGCGCGGGTAGCAGCTGCGCATGCGCTCCGCGAACACACCCATGCCTCCGTTTCCAGAGGTGGCGAGGGAATGCAGCCCTTAAAAGGGCTCTGAGTTCTAACAAAGTAACGCAAATAAAACACCTAAGGCCGTAGCCACACTTAACGAGGGAGCAAATTAATGGCATTTAAGGGTAACCAATGCAGACGTAACGAGTAGAACTTAATTCGCAAGCTGTCTCCTCAGAGTTGAGAGCATACTCTCCCGCTGGGCTCGGCCAAAAGGGGTCCGTTCGGTGAGAAAACAGGGATATGGCTGAGTGAACAGAAGCCCCCCTAGACCGCGGCAGGAAAGAGCTCTGAGGGGAAATCCTCAGGCGGGCGACGCGACGTCCGCGATGCTGCCCTCTCAGAAATGCACAAATTTTCGAGAGTGTGGGCCCGCAACACTGAACGGGACGGGTTCTTGTTTCGCGTTAATGCCTTAGTAAGTCAAATAAAGAAGCGGGAGGGCAAAAACTAGGCCCGTGACCAAAAACCCCGGGAGGCTGAGGTTACCGGAACGCAACGCAAGAAACAGTTTTTAGAGCCCACTGTACCCCTCCTTAGGGAGTCTCCATGAATCCCTAGCTTTCGCGTTGTAGTCCCCCCAAATCGAGTCCTCAGCCCCAGCTGCCGCTCAACTGCGCACCGGGCGGTTGCAGGCCCCGCCCATTCGCGGTTCTGGCGCCAGCGCAGTGATTATTACTAAAGTGTCTCCGCCTCTAGGTTCCTTTCGTAGCAGCGATGGCCGAGTGGTTAAGGCGTTGGACTTGAAATCCAATGGGGTCTCCCCGCGCAGGTTCGAACCCTGCTCGCTGCGGAAGCGGGTGCTTCTCTCTTTTTCCTTTCAACAGATGCTTCCTTGCAATCATAACCCTTATTCTTCCATTCTTAAGTCCATGCCTACCAGCTAAATGGCGCACCCAAGGAATGCTTTATTGTGCGGAAAGAAGGGCCAGTAAATGTCAGGGCTGCAAACACAGTACTATTTATACCAACGGGAGAAGCCAGTCGCTGCCCTACAAAATTTTAGAATTGTGCTTAATCTGAAGGGCAAGTTCACATAACAGAAATAAAATACTGTTATTGGTGGACGTTTTCAGACCATCACAGCTTGAACAAGCTATTACCTCACTAAAACTATGGGCAAAACTATGCTACCTTTCCTTCCGTTTCAGAATCACCTCCAATAGTTTCCCTGCCATTGTGATCCCCTAAAACTGATATGAAATGGGAGTGTTTTAAATTTTTAAAGTTCCATTTCTAAAGCATGATAGATAAAACATTAAGATGATGTTCGTGCTAAGGGAAGGCATTCCTGATGCATTGCCAAATGCAAAAAGAGGGCATGTTAGAAAACAGTACATAAAAAATAAATAAATAAAAATAAAAGACAAAAGAAAAAAAACGAAAAGAAGAAAACAGTACATATAATGATTACATTTTCGTTAAATAATTCATTCGTATACTCATCTGTGTGGGGGAAATGGGTGCGAAGAGAGAAGGCAATAAAGACAGAATGAATGGAGGCTGGAAAGACGCCAAAATGTTAGCCGGGATTATTAGCTCTGAGTGATGGGATTTGAGGGCATTTAATTTCTTAACAGCTTTTTGCTTAACTGGGTTCTCTAAAACTTTTCATATGGACCCAGTATTATGTTTTGAATTATAAAATTAACATTTGACAACCTGCACATCCCCCTTCTGCTCCCCTTCACCCACTTCCACCATGTCTCGCCTCCCCATAATCCCGAGGTGCTCTTTGGTTTTTCCCCCCTTGACACCTGGCGGGTAGGGATAGTTTTCTGTGGTACCTGAAGTGGATTCCACCCACACAGCCTGCTGCAGTTTGGGTAAGTGTCCCCCAGGACCCACGTGTTACAGGCTTGGTCCCAAAGTGGCCCTATTGGGAGGTGGTGCAGTAGAACTTCTAGAAGACAGGGCCCACGGGAAGTCCTCAGGTAACTTGGGTGTGCCCTGGAAGGGGATTGGAGGACCTTGCCTGCTTCCTTTGTGTCTTTTACTTCTTAGTTTATGAGGTAATCAATTTCCTCTGCCACATGCTCCCCACCATTGCCATCTGGGACCCCTACCAGAGGCCAAAAGCATGAGGTCTAAGTCACTAAATTGCGTAGGCTGGGCTGGAACTTGCCATCCTCCTACCTCAGCCTCTCAAAGCTAGGGATACAGGCTTGGCCACCACACCAGGACTGAACCTTTTTTCTTATAATTATCTCAAATATTTCACAATAGTGGCAGAAACTTGATTCATGTACAGCTTCATTCCATTTGACACTCTGTAAAACATACACACCGTATTTTAAATCTGCATTGTCTCTTCTCTGCCTGGTCCCCACTTCTGCCACCATTCAAGTCACTTATAAATAACCAGTTAGGGGCAGGGGTTGTGCAGTAGCTCAGGATTATTTAGCATGCACAAAGTCCTTGGTTCAGTCTTTCAGTTCTGCAAAGAAAAATAAAAGAAAGAAACTGCATTCCTTTCCTAGCTGGTCTCCTTCCCTATATCAGTCAGGATCAACTGTGAATTATAGAAAAATCCAACTGTGCTGGCTTAAATACACATGGGTTTATCTCAAGAAGCCTGGATGACAAGTACCATTCCTGGACCCAAGAAACTGAAATAGTATACAACTTCTCATATTTATTTCAGTTTTAAAAATTAAAAAAATTTTGACTCGATATTAAAATGTTAATCCAAAAAAGGGAGAGACCCAAAATTTTAAATTCATATATGCCATCAAAAAGACAAATAATATTGCACAATTAATAATCAATTCTATTTTTATTTATTTATTTTCAGTGCTAGGGGTTGAACCCAGGGCCTGGTGAGTGCTAAGCACATGCTATACTCCTCAGCTACACTCTCAGCCAATTTAACTTAATAAGTGGTGTTCTATCAGGTATAAAAGATAGCTTCATTCGAGAACTCTTTTTTTTCTTGGTAAATTACATCTTACTGTTTCAAGAGGCTATTGCAAGTAAATATGTAAGATATAATGTTTAATATAAATAGTTAGATGAAAAACAGAAAAGGAAATTCTCAGATGAAAGAAGGGTTCTTTCTATCTTGTGCTTTGCTAGTTGTTACCAGTAGGTCCTGATCCCGTTTGTGCCTCATAGTTCTAATATAGCTGATTCACCTCCAGATTTCACATCTGGTTTCAGCCAAGAAAGGAAAAGGCAAGAATCTTCATTTTATAGCTCCTTTATCCTAACTGTGTAAAATGGCTACCACTATCTACAAGACACTCTAGGAAGTATTGTTAGCTGAATATATTGCAACCTAAATCAAAATTGGAATTTTATTGGTAAGGAAAAAAGATAGATGTTACTGAATGTGCAACCCATTGTGTATGCCACACTCCTGTGACAGAAAAATCAAAGCTTCTAAGCACAGGGCCTTCAAGGACATCTCCCTGTTGGCCTTCCCAGCCCTCGCTCTTTCCCCTTCTCCTTTTGAGTTCTTGGCAGGATTTCCTGCCTTGTCCTTTGGATCTTGCCTTTGGACATTTTTTTGACATGTTTTCATGCAACTACCTGGATTATACTTCTCTTACCTTCACTTCTCACCTTTCATTAGGGAAAAGAGGGCTGTCTATCATTTGAAACCTCTTCCTATTAAGGAGACTTGCTCTCCTTTTAAATCTATGGCTTCAATCTATGCCCACCCCCAGCATAAAAGGTTAAAAAATTTAAAAGCCACACACTTGCTTTCCCAGTCTCACTTGCAGATGGCATAACCATCACTTGCATGTGACAGGCCCAGCCAATCAGGTGTGCCCACCCCAATTTCCAATCAGGAACTATCCATACGAGAGGCAGATGAGGTGGGAACCCATCCTAGTGATGGGCAGAAACACTGGAAGAAGTTTCTCTTACTCTGAGTCCAACCCAACACCCACCTATGCCTCCTTGGAAGCCACCTTTTTCTGACCCACACCCACACAGGGATTTCAAAAGGCAGCTGAGACTTACAGCTGTTTGGTGGCAGGACAAGAGTGTGCGCACCAGACTGGTGGCATAACATTATTGCTGTGTGATCTTGCACTCTACCTAGTTGAAGTTGTTCCTGCTCCATTTTCCAAAATTGGCTTTGCAAGCTTCTTGGCAGTTGAACAAGCTGTTTAAAATCCTTCCAATAAGTTTCTGCTTCAATTGGCCCCAACTTTTTTTCTTCCAAACACCAGATAAAAATTCCCTCTTTACCCCACCGTCATCTGCTGGAAAAACACATATTCTTTTTTCAAGCATCACCTCCTGAGTAAAGCGTTCCTGCAACTCCCAGGCTGATCCACAGCCCTTCCCAATTCCCTACTCCATATTTTAGCAAGGATTGCACTGCACTACTTCCACCTGTTTGCCTCTGCTTTGGTTTAAATGTCCCCATCAAATCTCATGTTAAAATTTAATTCCCACTGTAAGAGATTGAGGGTTTGGGAAAGGTAATTAAGATTAAATGAGGGGCTGGAGATTTAACTCAGTGGTGCCACTGCCTGCCTCACAAGCGAAAGTTCCTGAGTTCGATTCCCCGGTACCAAAAAATAAAGATTAAATGAGGCCATGAAGGTGGGGCCCTAATGCAATGAGACTGTGGCCTCATAAAACAAGACGGAGAGAGCTCAGCTAGGATATACAGTCCCCCTTTTCATGTGATCCCCTCCTTGCCTTGGGATTCTACAGTCCCTGCAGCAAGCCCAACCTAACCAGATACAGCTGCCCAATTTGAACTTCCAGCCTTCAGAACCATGAGCTGAATAAACCTCTTCTTTATATAAATTACCCAGTTTGTATATTTAGTTACAGCAACAGAAAATGAGCTAAG